CACCGGCCAGTCCGCTCCCACAGAGAGGGTCTCTTCAGGGTGCCATCTGCCAAATTATGTCGGCTGGCGACAGCCAGGGGGAGGGCCTTCTCTGTGGGAGCCCCTTTGGAATGAGCTGCCCCCAGAAATTCGTAAGATCTCTGATCTCCATGTATTTCGCTGTGCCCTCAAAACCTTGTTGTTCCACCAGGCTGGGCTATCAATGTAAAGATTTTAATTGGTTTTAAATGGGATTTTAAATTTGGGGTTTTACAAATTGGGCCTATCATTTAATAATTTTAATTGTTTTTAAATTTTGTCTGTCTTTGTGTTTTTAATTAGGCTGTACACTGCCCTGAGTCCTTCAGGAGAAGGGTGGTATAGAAATAAAATAAAATAATAAAATAAAATAAAATAATAAAATAAAATAAAATAAAATAAAATAAAATAAAAATAATAAAATAAAATAAAATAAAATAAAATAAAATAAAATAAAATAAAATAAAAAATAAAATAAAATAAAATAAAATAAAATAAAATAAAATAAAATAAAATAAAATAAAATAAAATAAAATAAAATAAAATAAAATAAAATAATAAAATAATAAAATAATAAAATAATAAAATAAAATATAAAATAAAATAAAATAAAATAAAATAAAATAATAAAATAATAAAATAAAATAAAATAAAATAAAATAAAATAAAATAATAAAATAATAAAATAAAATAAAATAAAATAAAATATAAAATAAAATATAAAATAAAATATAAAATAAAATAAAATAAAATAAAATAAAATAATAAAATAAAATAAAATAAAATAAAATAAAATAAAATAAAATAAAATAAAATAATAAAATAAAATAAAATAAAATAAAATAAAATAAAATAAAATAAAATAAAATAAAATAAAATAAAATAAAATAAAATAAAATAAAATGTGGGGACCGGCTGTGCATGTGGTTAAATATTTTCAGGGTGGGCTTATTTTAGGGCATGCGCTCAAAAGCCCAATTGGGCTTATTATTCAGGGAGGTCTTATTTTCAGGGAAACGGGGTATATATACACATACATACATATGCTTTCTTCTCTTATTGTAGGTTTTGTATGTGTTTTTTTTTTCTTCAGCTGGGTATTTTCCTACGTAAAACAAGTTCAAATTGCAGCCATAGCTCAGTGGAATCACATCCACTATCGTAGGCTTCTTCAGACAGCAAGCATGCATTTTGCTGCTAATATAGATCTATTTCGGACTGATTGCTCCTCATCAGTTAGCCACACCCTTACCATATGTTCCCTCCCTGTAGAGGCGAAGTATTTGCTTTCTTCTCTTATCGTAGGTTTTGTATGTGTTTGTTTTTAAATATACGTATATATATATGTATGTATGTATATGTGTGTGTGTACACACACACACACAATCAGAAGATAGGCTCAAGATACAGAAGGATCTTGACAGACTTAAACATTGGGCGCTCTCTAACAAAATGAAATTCAATGGTGAAATAAGTAAGGCTCTACATTTAGGCAAGAAAAACAAAATGCACAGGTACCGTATATCTGGTACCTTGCTCAATAGTAGTAACTGTGAGAGGATCTTGGAGTCCTAGTGGACAACCATTTAAATATGAGCCAGCGGTGTGCAGCAGTTGCCAAAAAAGCCAACACAGTTCTAGGCTGCATAAACAGAGGGATAGAATCAAGATCACGTGAACTGTTAATACCATTTTATAATGCCTTGGTAAGGCCACACCTGGAATACTGCATTCAATTTTGGTCACCACGATGTAAAAAAGATGTTGAGACTCTAGAAAGAGTGCAGAGAAGAGCAACGAAGATGATTAGGGGACTGGAGGCTAAAACATATGAAGAACGGTTGCAGGAACTGGGTATGTCTAGTTTAATGAAAAGAAGGACTAGGGGAGACATGATAGCAGTGTTCCAATATCTCAGGGGCTGCCACAAAGAAGAGGGAGTGAAGCTATTCTCCAAAGCACCTGAGGGTAGGACAAGAAGCAATGGGTGGAAACTAATCAAGGAGAGAAGCAATTTAGAACTAAGGAGAAATATTCTGACAGTTAGAAGAATCAATCCGTGGAACAACTTCCCTCCAGAAGTTGTGAATGCTCCAACACTGGAAGTTTTTAAGAAGATGTTGGATAACCATTTGTCTGAAGTGGTGTAGGGTTTCCTGCCTAAGCAGGGGGTTGGACTAGAAGACCTCCAAGGTCCCTTCCAACTATGTTATTCTATTCTATTCTATGTTTGCAACATACACACAAAAATATTCCAGAATTTAAAAACCGTAGTCAGACTTCGTTTTGTTGTTGGATTTTGCAGCATGGAGAAAAATTTTGAATGTCCTCTGCAGCCTTAATTATCACCAAGTTCAACAGTTATAAATATAAGTTGGTTTCTAAAGGGGTTGGAACTACGCTGGGAGTTACAATTCCCACCTTTCCATACAAGGGACAGCTGTGTTAAAAAGTTTTTAACAAGCGTTTCAGCCAAATCAAAATTATGGCTATACGGCCAGCAGCTGAAGAAAAGTAATAAAATAAAAATGGCGCTGAAGAAAACTGGAAAGAAAAATGAATATTAAGCTTCCATATCATGCAAATAGAAGTATGCACTTCTTGATAAAGTGGGTTAAAATACCTTTAATACCTATTAAAATATTGCTTAGTGCCATGTTGAAATTTATTAAGTAATAATTATTACCAACGCATGCAGCAGAGGTGGTATTCGGCTGATTCTGACCAGTTCTGAAGAACCGGTAGCGGAAATTTTGAGTAGTTTGGAGAACCAGTAAATACCACCTCTGACTGGCCCCGCCCTCATCTGTTCTCTGCCTCCCAAGTCCCAGCTGATCGGGAGGGAATGGGGATTTTGCAGTATCCTTCCCTTGCCACGCCCACCAAGCCATGCCACGCCTACCAAGCCATGCCCACAGAACCGGTAGTAAAAAATTTTGAATCCCACTACTAGCGTGCAGCATGTACATCCTATAATACTATATGAATTAACAGGTGGAAGAGAATATTTGTAGCTCAGGGTTAGATACAAGGATCACAGGACTAAAAAAAAAAAGCAGAATGGAGATATTTATTTATTCATTCATTCATTCATTCATTCATTTATTTATTTATTTGTTCGATTTAGTTTCTCAGGGCGGCATATATATGTCTGCAGTCTTCAAAAAAACAACAACATACCACTCAGTGATTATGTTCACACATCACACTAAACCATAATATAATGTAGTCTGTTTGGGTTGGAATGATAGATTGTGTAAACCTAGGCTTTATGGATGATAAACTGGGGTATATGGCCTAACCTGATGCATAGATCCAAACATTTTCTGAATGTTTCTCAAACATAGCTTAGTTAGGGTGACATGTGGACATGTTTATCATACTTTGAGTTATTTGTAACCTGGGGTGGCATGTGTATGTCTGTGTGTGGCAAATGAATAAATAATTGTAGAAGCCATTTTTATTTAGTTTTAATTTGGGGGGTTTGGGGTCGGTTATATATGATTATGCAACTCTTGAGGACGTCCTTATTTTATCATGCTGGCTATAATAATTCCTAGCGACTTTATACAAGCTTAAAAGGGATATAGCTTTTTGAGACATATGCATTTCATTTTTTTCCCACACTTCTCTTGAGTGATATTATTGCCTCACAGAACTTTTTAAGGATTGGTGTCCTTTATTGCTATACTCTGTTTTCTCACTGCTTCGGCCATCACTTTTCTTTCCAAGGGAAAAAAAATCAACTGATTGAAAGATGAAAGTGGCTGTATGATTCTTTCGGCTGATAGAAACAAGATTTTAGAAACACATTGCAAAATATGCAGTACATATAGGTGGTTTCCACTGGGGTGGAATCCCTATTTTTCTTCCTAGTCTTTCACAAATATATCTGAGTCTTTCAATATATTTCATCCGGGTTTACCCTGTTTCCCAAAAATAAGACATCCCCTCGTAATAAGCCCAATCGGGCTTTTGAGCGCATGCACTAAAATAAGCCTCCTCCCCCGAAAATAAATCCTCCCCGAAAATATTTAAACACAGAGCTCAGAAATCAGATAAGATGGCAAGAGGTGCCCCATCTATTTCTGGGCATTTATATCTCAAAGGACCTCTCATGGACTTTGAATGCTAACATGCTTGTGAAGAAGGCACAGAAGAGGCTGAACTTCCTGAGAATGCTCAGGAAGATAAATCTATCTCAGCATTTACTTCTGTCCTACTATCGCAGCACGATTGAGAGTGTCCTGACATACGGCATTCTTGCATGGTATGGGAGCAGCTCTGTAGCGGACAAAAAAGCTCTACAGAGAATCATTAAAACTGCCCAGAATATCATTGGGCTCCAGCTACCAGCCCTGGACGACATCTTCGAATCTCGCTGTTTGAGGAAGTTGCATAACATTCTCAGAGACTCTTCCCATCCTGCTTACAATCTTTTTGGACTGTTGCCTTCTGGCAGAAGATACAGAACAATTAAAACTCGGACCACACGTTTTCTGAATAGTTTTTATCCTAGAGCTATAATTGCACTCAACAATGAACTAAAGGACCACCATTAGTGAGCTGTTGGAGAGCATTACTTGGTCTGTTGTGTAGATGCTTGGGTGGTTTTAGGGGTGGGGAATTTTTGGTGGATGGGGGTATCTCTGGGGATTGTCATGTGAGTTGGGTCTGGTCTCTGGGTGATATGTGAATTTTGTTGTATGGGTATACTGTGTATACACATACAATGGCAATAAACTTTATTTATTTATTTATTGCTCCACGTGCCCCAAAATAATAAAACCTCCCCGAAAATAAGCCCAAGCACTTATTTTGGGGTTCAAAAAAAATATAAGACAGGGTCTTATTTTCGGGGAAACACGGGTATTGATTTGGGCAATAAAGTTTGATTGTTGGGTGCTCCATCATGAAATGAACAATGTCGAATTTGAATACCGACATAAATTAATTGATCATTGTGTCGATATTCCCTCCAGGTCTGAAGACTCTCGAGAACAGCTGAACTAATAATTCTGGGCTAGAGATCACTTCTCCTAGAAGCCGAGCATCCTCTCCTCTGTTTGGTGACACGGGAACAGACAATTATGAATCCGAAAGACCCATTGAAAGAGACAGAGGGAAGCACTGTTCCATTATGCTTGGCCTGTGGCCAAACGCACCTTCCAGAAGAAAACCATATATACACCTACACAGAAGATGTAGATGATGACCTAATCTGCCATATTTGCCTGCAGCCTTTGCTGCAGCCTCTGGATACACCTTGTGGACACACCTATTGTACAGTCTGCCTTACAGATTTCTTGGTGGAAAAAGACTTCTGTCCCATGGACCGCAAAGCTCTAGCTCTACAAAGGTGCAGGAAGTCAAGCATCCTAGTGAATAAGCTACTGGATAAGCTAATGGTGAACTGTCCTTTCACGGAACACTGTTCGGAAATTCTACAGCGCTGTAACCTTGAACATCATTTTCAGAACGGGTGAGTACCTTTTGGTCATGTTGATATATCCATCTGTGTTATGTCTAGAGAAAAAAAATCTCAATCTGAATAACGTTTTCTATCAGACAGATAGAAAAGATATTTTTCTTCCTTAATTATTTTTTGTCTTTTAATGACCCCTTGCATCGGGGTGGAGTTGGGACAACTGAATGGAGCTGAGTGTTTACTGGCTGGGTTGTTGTGGCCTGCCAGCGACCAGTGGAGCTGGCAGCAGAGTCAGACAGTGAGGAGGTTGGGGAGAAACATGGGTGTCAGTGTCTCACCGCCGGCATAGAGAGGAGAGAGATAAGCACTGAACTTTTGCCTGCTAAATCCCTTTGAAGCTGGGTCGTCGTGGAAATGAAGGGAGGGGGGGACATTCCTGTGAAATGACGAGACAAGAAGTCAGTGGAGTGACTTGGATGATAGCCAATGAGAAGCAGATAATTGGGGATTGGAAAGGGAGGGATTGGGGGGCAAAAGGTCAGTCTTGTCCGCATCGAGTCATGATCCGGTTTCTGTGCTCAAATAAAGAGAAGATTTCCTTAAAGATTGGCAGTTTGGAAATTCATTTATTTTGAGATAGCATCGAAGTCTGACAATTGGTCAGTCCTGGAGGCTGGGGAAGGTTCAGACGAGGGTTCTGCGTTGGAGGCAGAGAGGGGGCCAAGGCAGTCTGGCTGTTATCAGCTGCCTCTGGAGCTAGACAGCAGTGAGGCAGAGGAACAGCTGGAGCCTGTTCCCAGGGTGCACATGCGCAGAGCTGCCAGAAGAAAAGAACAGCTAAGAAATCAGGGTCAACTTGGGAGTAAAGCCACAGATGGATGATGTGTGGCCCCTCCCATAGGAAATAAAAGGGGAGTGGGCTTTTGCAGGAAACAATTTGTTCAGTTGGTCGGTCGGTTCAGAAGTGTGAAGATCTGTCAATGAATCTCAGACGCTCTGCGCCAAGTCTTTCCTTGCGTTTGGAAAATATTTACATGGCAGCTTTCCAAGACAGATAAGGTCTGTGGTCATAAGTTCACCTTTGAAAGACTGGTTGCCAGGCCTTTGCTGAATGTGAATGAGAGGAATTCACATTCCTTTAATAAAAGGAGTTTTGTCGGGACCAGGATTCTGGTTCGTGCTTTTTGGGGAAGCCTAGGTCAGAACACGGATGCCCTTCCTGTCACCAATGCGGAGTTCGCAGCAGATACAGTATATTCTCATTGTGCCCAGAGAGAGAAATACTTACTTCTACCTAGGATAGAACTCACAGCTTCCTGATTGTGAGGCCACCGCACCGCTCTCTCTTTCTTCCTTACGATATAGTTAAATCTGGCTGTCAAGTTAGATATTAAATATAAGGTGATCTTTTAGTAGCAACTACTTTATTTTTTATGAATGAATACATCCCCCATCGTTCAGCTTGCATGAATTAAAAGGCAGCTTACCACAATAACACCAAATTCAGATGCTCTCTGGGTCAAATAAGGTTTCATGCAAATATTTCCAGGAGGCGTAAGAGATGGAGCATGAGGCATCTGAGATGCGTCAGCTTTTGTATTATGCACACAGTGCGGTGTTGTATTATGGGATGCAAGCGAATAGGTGAGGTAGGCAAAAATTGGGTTATGCCAATCTTTCTGGAATAGAATCCTTATGTAAGATGGGGGAATGTAAATCGTGACAGGAGAATCCATTTAGCGAAGTCACCACTGAAAATCAACTTCAGAATCATTAAGTTCCGTTAGCAGTTAAAAACATGATGCAAGAAAAGAGGTTTTGCCATTTTAATATCTACAAGGAGCTTTTTTGGGGGGAGGGACTTCTTCCAAAGGATCTTTCTTGATTTAAATAATTGGAAGAGCTCATAGCAAGCAAGGAACATAGTCAGGTCCTAAATTATTAGGAGGGATGTAAGGTGAACACCAGCTTACATTTTGTGTCTTCCCCGTTCCCAGAAGGAAAAGTTCAGGTTGCAAAATTTGTCTCCTTTTCATCCACATTCCTCACCATAAGGAGGGGAAGTGGACACCTAGTGTGGTGTGGAAAATGTGTTCTAGATAAGTTTTTAAATCTGTATATCAGGGGTGAAATCCAGCAGGTTCTGAAGAACCGGTAGCGGAAATTTTGAGCAGTTCGGAGAACTGGCAAATACCACCTCTGGCTGGCCCCACAGTGGGGTGGGAATGGAGATTTTGCAATATCCTTTCCCCAGGAGTGGGGAGAGAATGGGGATTTTGCAATATCCTTCCCCCAGGAGTGGGGAGGGAACGGGGATTTTGCAGTATCCTTCCCCCAGGAGTGGGGAGGGAATGGGGATTTTGTAATATCCTTTTCCCAGGAGTGGGGAGAGAATGGGGATTTTGCAATATCCTTCCCCCAGGAGTGGGGAGGGAATGGGGATTTTGCAGTATCCTTCCCCCAGGAGTGGGGAGAGAATGGGGATTTTGCAATATCCTTCCCCCAGAGTGGGAGAGAATGGGGATTTTGCAATATCCTTCCCCCAGGAGTGGGGAGGGAATGGGGATTTTGCAGTATCCTTCCCCCAGGAGTGGGGAGGAGATGGGGATTTTGCTATATCCTTTTCCCAGGAGTGGGGAGGGAATGGGGATTTTGCAGTATCCTTCCCCTGGAGTGGGATGGGAATGGAGATTTTGCAGTATTCTTCCCCTGCCACACCCACCAAGCCACGCCCACCAAGCCACACCACGCCCACCAAGCCACGCCCACAGAACTGGTAGTAAAAAAAAATTGAATTTCACCACCGCTGTATATGTTTTCTTACCTCTCCTGGGGGAACTGCATTGGTTGCCGATTTGCTTCCAGGTGCAATTCAAGGTGCTGGTTGTCACCTTTAAAGCCCTTCATGACTTGGGACCAGGTTATCTGAGGGACCGTCTCTTGCCGGTCACATATACCTGACCCACCAGAGCGGGGAGGCAGGGAATGTTGTGGGTTCCATCCCCTAGGGAGATACACCTGGTGGGACCCAGAAGGGTCTTCTCCGTGGTGACTCCCTCTCTCCCTCCAGAGATTAGACTAGCACTCTTTCAAAAGGCCCTGAAGACGTGGTCCTGCCAGTGGGCCTGGGGAACCCAGCGTGGGAGGAAGCCCATTAAATGGCTAGTATGAATGTGTGTCGTCGTTGGGGTGGGGGTGGGGGTTTATTATTTTATCATTTTTCTTTTTATTTCTTTTATATGGTGTTTTTACATCCTTGTAAGCCGCCTCAAGTCGCCATGTGTGAGCAGGTGCCAATATAAATTTTCTAAATAAATAAATACCATATTTTTTGGGAATATAAGATACGCCTTAGTTTTTCGGAAGGAAAATAAGAAAAAAACTGATTGGCAGGTGGAACAGCCTCCCGGAATACCCCTAATCTGCTGTTCCCAGAGGTGAATTTTAGCAACAGGTTCCTTGGTTGTGAGCTCTGTGCCTTGCTTTTTTTTTTTTATTATTTTTTTATTTATTTATTTTCCCCTGCCTCTGAAACTTCTGAAACTCTGTTTCGGAAAAAACTTTTTTTCATGCCTCTGAAAGCCTCCGAAACAGAGCTTCAGAAAAAAAGCCTCTGAAGCTCTGTTTGGGGGCTTTTTTTCTAAAACTCTGTTTGGGGGCTTTTTTTCTGAAGCTCTATTTGGGGGCTTTTTTTCTAAAACTCTGTTTGGGGGCTTTTTTCTGAAGTTCTGTTTGGGGGCTTTTTTTCTGAAGCTCTATTTGGGGGCTTTTTTCTGAAGCTCTGTTTGGGGGGGCTTCTTTTCTGAAGCTTTGTTTCTGATGCTTTTTTCAGCCTTTGAAGCCTCTGTTTGAGAAGCTGGGTGGGGCTACATTCAGAGTATAAGACGCACCCAGATTTTCACCCTCTCTTTTGGGAGAAAAAGGTGCGTCTTATACTCCGAAAAATACGGTACGTTGCAGAGGATCATCTTAACTGCATTTATTCCTATTTTTAAAAACTGAAGACAAGGGCTTGCATGTGTCATTAGAGTCAACATTCAGCCTAGGTTTCATCATGAAGAGCTTTAATAGTCCCCCTCCCTTCCATCTGGTTGAAGCCAATCAAATGGGATCCTGACTTGAAAAATAAATAGGTCTGTGTTTGTGATAGATACATATATAACATCGTCTGCTGCTCCCTGGCTGCATCTCTCCTGCTACGTTCAGATTCCTTCCTTGCCTCTTGTCTTAGGCAGCTCAGCTCATAACCTGTTTGCCTTTCTGACCAATGATGTCAGTGTATCAGCTGCTTCTAAAAAACCATTCTGATGAACGCAGAAGGATGCTCTTTGCCTCAGCCTGGGCTTTTCGCTGTGTTTTTCCTTTTTTCCAGCTCTAAGCCCTGTTTTGCCACCAGCTATTTCTGCTCTGTTCTCCCTAAAATCCTCGTCCCCTTTGGAGAATCAGCTCAAATCAGCTTGCAGGTCAATGAGCTTCCTTCCAGCGTAGCTTCATTTAAGCGATTTTGCATTCGTTCCTAATGCGTTCTCGGTTGGGTTGAAAAGGCTTACAGGAGGACCTGAATTGGCTGACATTTAAAAAAGCAAAAAAAAAAGCAAAAACAAAAAGGAAGCTTGGAGTTCTGTATCCCATCACAGAGAAACTGAGGCAGAGAGGAAGGAGATTTAACAGCAATTTGAAAACATACGCTTGCAAAAAAAATGAAGGCTCTCCTGTTACTGGTCCTTCCTTGGCTAAGTCCTGCAAACTACACAGAGAGTGTGGGGAACCTGCACTTCCTGTACTCAGAGCTGTGAGTACTCACAGTTGTGTTGTGGTGGTGGTGTCTCTGTGTTGTGTCTGTGTTCTTTTGTTTAAAAAAATGAGCACTACTTTTCATTGCTTCACATTAGTGCTTCCGTAATATGTCTGTTTGTGTGTATAAAGGAACAAGCTTGCGAAATCTACGTTATTTGCCTGAATTGAAATGTGGAATACAGATTGACTTCTTGGTGCTGGAAACAGCTGAGATTAAGCCTGTTGTAGGTTTTTTTTTTTTTCTTCTTCTTCTTCTT